GAAAAATTTCAGGATTTAAAGGAAAAAAATGAGACAGAGACATTCACTGTAACACAAGAAATTATTTTAAAAGTAAGTGCAGCGTGGTTTGGTTCAGTGCTTTGTTTGGAGGCCGTCCTGGGACAGTTGGCAATAGGGTGGCACAGGTAGAAATAGTAAAGATGACTAGAGAGACAAACCTTATCAAAGGAGGAACTGCAGCACTTCCTAGCAGAGGGGAAATGTAAAAATACTTACTGTTTTGAAGGGCAAATGGGGATGGCCACAGGGTAGGGCAAAGTTTTCTTGTGTTGCGATGTACTGAGTGACGTAAATGGAGATGGGGGAAAGGAGTGCTCACTGTCCCTTCTGAGATCTGTTACCTCTTATGGTGACTCTTGACTTTTCCCTATATGTCTTAACAGAGACTTGCTGTACTTTTTGTTAGTGCCTCTTCAGAGGAACCAGTAGGACGAGCTCTATTGACTCACTGTTGTACTGTTTTTAGAGATGTGTCTTGCATGTGAAACGTCAGTGTTTTAAGATGACCTGCAGTATCTAAATACAGGCCTGTTACTGCCACTGCAAGGCACAAAAATAGGTTTTGTTAAGGCGTGTTTCAGAGCAGCCTGCTTACTGCAAAATGCATCTCCTTTGGCTCAAATGATCAGAATCACATAAATAACGACCTTTTACAGGCATGTGAGCCTTTTCTCTGCCTTCTGAGAAAAGACAAAGGCTACAAACTCATCAGCAGTATTGGCTTTCCTAAAGATGTTTGTGGTGGTTAAAATGACAAGGCAACTGTCAAGCTTATTTTGTAGCAAGTGCTGCATAGAACCAATATTCAGGCTGGAAGAACTGAGCTGCGATGCAAGGGCCTTTCTGAAAACTGATAGAGGCTTTTCCTCAGTCCACTTCACAAGGTTACCAGGTTAATGATTAATTAAGTGGAATATGTTTATATCAGCCAGTGTTACTGGCAAGAACTATTGTTCAGGCAAATTCATAACTTTATTTGTAGCCTGCCTTTTGCAGTTGATTTGTGTTGGTCCTCCCCCCTCTCAATCCTCCAGGATCTGAAGGTAGTTTTTCCTTTCTTTGTATATTTTTGTATGTTTGGTTTTGCTTTATTTTGGTTGTTGCTTTTTTTTTTTTTTAAAGTAAAATACTATTACAAAGATTATATTCCCATGATCAAGAGGCTATGGCTTATTTTTTTTTAAAACACTTGTTTATGGTGGATTTAGAACAGCCTAAACTACAATTGTCAGAAAAGACCGACACTGTCCTCCAGCAGAAAGAGGATTACTCTTGATTTCATTGGTTTTAATACAAAGATTGAAAGCAACTTAGAATCAAATATAAGTTGTAGAGATCGAAATCTCTCCAAACTGGTTTGGATGAGAAAGCAGTTGCATGGAGTGGATGCTGATTGAGAAGTCCAAAACAAAGGCAGTGTGTTTCCTGAAAAAGAAACTGTTTAAGGAAATTAATCAGGTGCTAATTGCCATTTAATTTAACACCTCTTAGGGCAGACCCCTTACCTATGTAGTGATGGAATTAATAAATTACACTACAGAAGTTTACTGCAGGGGCATGTAACCCCGAACTCCCAATGCTGCAGTTGCTCTGACAGGATTTCTTACAGGAAGGTGCAGACGTCCCAGGCATGGTCAAGATGTGGTCACAGTCAGTATGAGGGAGAGGTTAGCAAACAGGAATTTCAAGGACTAGATCTGACTTCTAACAAGACAGACAAGTTTGCACTGGCATTGGCAAAGAGGCAATTGGTGCGGTTTTGGATTCTGTGCACAAAAGCTGTATACTGTGGAAGGTCTTCCTCATGTGGCCTTTATCACCACTCTCACCAGAAATAAAAGCAAACTGAAGGGAAACAGAACTGCCTTCCCCACAGCAAACTACAGCAATTTTTCACTATTTTCCCATTAAAGAGTTTAACTAAGTGTTTTGGTTACTTATCTTTAGTACTCTAACTTGGACAGCTATAGTTGAGTGCAAGTGAATTAGGGGACTTACTAACTCTAACTCATTTATTCTTTCTTAGTTTTGCTTATAAAGGTGATGCTTTATCTGTTGGGGTTTTTTTGTTTATTTTTAGAACTCGTCTACCCTTGGATTTCAGGACTGAGGCTGAAAGGCTGGGAGTTGTCACTGTTCTAGTCTAAAACTGCAACAGACTTCATAGTAGTTGTGATTTAGGGCTTGCAGTGGCTTTGCATCACAGCTGTGGTGCACAGATGTTAAATTCAGAGATTAACTCGTCCTCTTGCCTGTCCTCTGAAAAGGGCACCACTGGTAATGCAAAGTTACAAGCGAGTAATGGGGAAGTGATACAATACATAAATGTAGCTCCAGAGCTATAGGGTAAAATCTGTTGTTGACTTCTGCTGAGAACTAAATGATTTCAATCTGGTTTTAGGTGTCTTTGTATCCAGCGTTGTTCTGGTCTTACAACAGCGAGCACTTTTCAAGTTCTACATGATCGCCTCAGCGTTTCTGCTGGCTGCAACTTCAGTGTTGGTGAATTACTATGCTGCTTTGCACATAAACTTCTACAGTGCCTACAACACAGCTGCATTCGGAATTCAGATTTTCCCACATAAAGGACCTTCGCTATGGATGGCACTTTCCATCCTTCAGCTTACCTTTGGAATTGGATATGTTACCTTGCTAAACATGCAATCCATATACTCTCAACTCATCATCCTGGATATACTGATTCCTGTAATTGGCTTGGTTGTTGAATTACCTTTAAATGTCCGGCAAGTACTTGTTTTTATTTCAGGCCTAGTTCTGACACTAAATACCACAGCCATTTTAGCTACAAAAATTAAGTGGTTCTATTATTCGGTACGATACGTTTATCTGCTGGTGAGGCACATGTATCGTATTTATGGATTACAGCTATTGATGGAAGATACGTGGAAAAGGATTCGGTTTCCAGCTGTACTGCGTGTCTTTTGGCTAACAAGACTTACAGCACAAGCTGTGGTATTAACTTATGTAGTAAAGATGGCTGAAAACAACACGGAAGAAAAATTCTTCTTGATATCGTGGGATAACTGTTGGGAACTGATTTGCAGCCTGATCATAAGTGGGTGTGACTCTACTTTAACTGTATTGGGCATGAGTGCCGTCATTTCCTCAATAGCGCATTATTTGGGACTTGGTATCCTGGCCTTCATTGGGTCAACTGATGAGGATGACAAAAGGCTTGGGTTTGTAGCACCCGTCTTGTTTTTCATTTTGGCTCTGCAGACTGGTTTAAGTGGACTGAAACCAGAGGAACGATTAGTTCGCCTGAGTCGAAACATGTGCCTTTTGTTGACCGCAGTCCTGCATTTTATCCATGGAATGACAGACCCCGTGCTGATGTCTCTCAGTGCCTCCCATGTGTCATCATTCCGCAGACACTTTCCTGTACTGTTCGTCTCCGCTTGCCTTTTCATTCTTCCAGTTCTGCTCAGTTACATCCTCTGGCACCACTATGCACTAAATACTTGGCTTTTTGCAGTCACAGCGTTCTGTGTAGAGCTTTGCCTAAAAGTAATAGTTTCTATCACTGTTTATATATTGTTTATGATTGATGGCTACTATAACGTGCTATGGGAAAAACTTGACGATTATGTCTATTATGTTCGCTCAACTGGCAATATTATTGAGTTTATATTTGGAGTAATCATGTTTGGAAATGGAGCTTACACTATGGTTTTTGAATCGGGAAGCAAGATTCGTGCTTGCATGATGTGTCTGCACGCGTACTTCAACATCTACCTGCAAGCCAAGAATGGCTGGAAGACTTTTATAAACCGCCGCACTGCTGTGAAGAAAATCAACTCGCTTCCAGAGGTAAAAGGAGCTCGGTTACATGAAATTGATGATGTCTGTGCAATCTGCTACCACGAGTTCACCACCTCTGCGCGCATTACTCCATGCAACCATTATTTCCACGCACTTTGTCTTCGGAAGTGGCTGTACATTCAGGACACGTGCCCGATGTGCCATCAGAAAGTGTATATGGAGGACAAAGAAAATGCCAATATCTCTAACAACAACGGGTTTGTAGCACCAAATGAAAATCCTGTACGGGTTGCAGAAGAAGCTGCTGATGCTGAAAATGAATTAAATGAAGATAATGACAGTTCAGATAGCGATGAGGAAGACGGAGACTGTGTGGCACAGCACTTGAATGAGACTCTTAATGTTGACTCTAACTCTCTTGGTGATTAGGATGTCCCTTACTAAGCCGTGAGGTATTTGTTCAAGATTGACTCCAACAGAATAAAAGTATCACTTTGTAGTTATTGTACTTAAGCACAACAGCAGTATCTCAATGTTGAGTCTGTGAATGGTGGTTGTTTACTGTGGTGTGTGCTACTGTAAATATACCTCTAATTTTTGCTGGTCTCTTTCATGACCACCTTAAAATTATGTACATTATTGTACATGGAATAAAATGTTTTCACGTTTTTAAGATGGTTGGAAAAACACTCTTTAATTGATGTAGTGATAATGCTGTGCCAAAGACTGTATACCAGTAATCCCCAATCAATGTCTTCTGGACGCAAATGAAAAATACTGGTGAAAACAGACTGTTCAGCCGGTCAACTCGGAAAATGAAAGCCTGAGCCAAAGCAGCTTTACTTACAAATTCAGTATTAGCAGAGCTTTATTGCAAAAAAACTAGTGAGTTGTGTTTTTAAAAAGAAAAAAAAAAATTAGGTTGTTAGACTTAATGCTATAGCATTTGCGTATGTGGAACAAAAGGCGACAGTGCTCAGCTTTCTGGTGAAGCAGCAAAGCGCATGCCATGGACGTGTCCAACCCTCCTGAACTGCCAGCAGTAGCTTGAAGTGCTTTACATGTGAATGCAGCAGCCTGGTGCTCATCCTGTGCCTCCACTGCTAACTGGAGTTACAGGCATGGCCTGGCCTTGAAGTGGATCCTGAATCTTGATGAAAGGGGAACAGGGCTGAGAAACTGCACAAATGCAGACCACCTTTTCAAAAGCAGCTTTAATCTTGTACCATAAAAAACCCCAAACCCACTACACATTGGCTTCCATTGATTAGAACTTGCAGGAATGATGATTTTTAAATTTTTGCAATATCTTTACTGAAGTTATGCTGAATAAATGTAAGAAAAACAACTTTACATATTTGGAAAGAAGACTTTAATGGTGTTGTTATATAGAGTATTGGCCAACTCAAGTGGGTCATCTTCTCTTACTGCCGCCATTATTTCCAGTATTTGACTAAAAAAGAAAGATTTATATTAGAAGACTGAAACCCAGTACTTCAGAATGTACTTCAGATTGCTGCATGTGTATGTACAACTCACTAAGATTAAGCTGGAATAAAAACCTACACTAAGAGCAATAGGGCAGGGTGCTCAGATATGCAAATAGCTTCACTTTTAAGTTACTAACTGCCATTTCCTTTCCACTGAACACTGGTTTGCTTACTGGTACAGATTCCTCTTTGGTCTTTTGACTCTTGTTTGGAGGTAATTAAACAGCTTTCTGTTTTGAAGGAAGTGTCATTTTGTGGGTGTCTTTATCAATGATCTTCATTTTTCAAAGAAAAATTCATTAGCCTGTCAAGGCTAAAGCTGTACTGTGACTAGACTGGTCTATGGTAAATCTTCAATTCCAGACACAGCTTTATCAGAGCACAGTGCTGCCAAAGTAACTTACTCCTACTTCCCCATTCTTTAGCTTAATTGTGATTAATGTGGCCAGGTATTTGCAGTAAATATTAAATGAGCAATTTCAAAAGGCTCAGGGCCTTGATACAAGCCAGGAAGAGGAGGCAAAAGAAATTGGATGAACATGATTAAAACAAAGCCACAACCTTTTCTCTGAAATTGCTTTCTTGATTTTGTATCAATCAGTCATTCTTAAAAAAAAAAAAAAAGAAAAAAAAAGAAGTAACATTCTCTTTCCTTCCAGAGATGTGTCATACTTTGATTTTTCCAGTAGCAGCAAAAAAACTTCAAACTTCACTTTGGAGAGTAAGAAGCTTAAGCTTGGTGGTAAGGTTTGGTGAGCTTTGGATTTTTCCTCTAAGCTGAGGCAACTGCTAAACTTCTTTTTGTGAAAGACAGCATAGGAGAAGTTGCTCGTAGTAATTACTTTACTGCAAATATTTTCCTAGATGCAGAATTAGCCAAACAGCTTCTTGATTTAAGAGGATATTCCAGGTGAGATGGAGTGAGATCAGGCCTACATAGAAGTAAGTAACAAATACCAAAGAATTTCACCCAAGAAGACTTAGGGCTTACTTCTTCCTCCTCACTTGGATGCAGTAGAAGGCTGTATGTTACTGTAACACTGTGTATGTGAAACTGCTGAAGGAGAAAAGAGAATTCTCTTGTGGCTAAACTTTTAAAAACATAGCTTCCAAGGGGAGTAGTTCTAAATATATATATATATATATATGAAGCAGAAATACCACTGTCAAAACTGAAAGGTGTGTAGCACCACCAAAAACAGGCAAATGGAAAATTCCTCCTGCCAACTGTGCTGCATTAAACTGTATATATACCAGAAACATTAAAGACACTTTGTGGACTGAGAAACATTCCCTCACACCAGATTTTGCTACTTAAGAAGTCACAAAATACCAATTATCAGTTACCATCTTCATTTTTCTTAAGGTTTAAAAGGTTCTAGAAATTCAACTGCTTATACTGAACATTACTGGGTAATAATTTCAAAGGTTGAGCCAAGTAATATTTTTTTTCATAAAAGAAGGCAAAAGCCAAAGCACAGCATTTGTGTAATGATCTTGAGTGCATCTGTGCACTCTGCATCTATGCAGAACAGACTGTGCATTTCGAGTTTGGGGGTTTCTGAAACATTTCTGTAAACTACAACTAAGGCAGCAGAAAATACGTGGGGGTGTTGTTGACATACGGCTTGGTTGAAATAGTAACAGTAGAGGCCCTTCACTTGTGATCAGAAGAGTGTTTTCTACTGATCTCTTCCCAAAATCATGGGCTGATCCTAGAAAGTCTTAAAATACTGAAGCAACCCTTTTGTGCTAATGTGTCCTCTTCACTTTAAAAAAATATATATTTTCAACGAATATTACAATTGGCCTAATTGCATTGAGTATATCTGAACACTAGGAGATGTCACCGTGTAAGCTTAAACTGTGCATTCACATCATCAGTAGTTTTCCAAGTTCCTTCATGTCTCAAAAAGCATCAGAATTCCCTTCACTTCTCAAATGAATTCTTGTTTAGACACTTTACTGCATACCTGGACCTTCAGTACTGTCCTGAGCAGTATTTCAAAATCTAGACAGGGAATTCTGAAAATTCAGTATTTCATCTATTAATGGTATTTAATGCAGATAACTAAATATTTTCACTAAAACAATTACACATTTTTCTGCTTTTCACACTTCTGTGAGGAACTGTGTGGACAGGAGGCAGAAAACTGTGTCTGTGCTTACCAATTCTGTTCATAAGCCGCTGGAGTTTTCTTTTACTACTCTGTATCTTGGCTGCTGTCATTCATATCTGAATTTCACAGAATCAGATTCTTTGAAGTACAACAGCAGAAGGAAGCAACATCCCTGACAAAATGCATGTTGTGGCAGTTCATGTCACAGGCCTGTGACAGCAGCAGTGTCACAGGCACTGCTGGTGCCTCAGCACTGTCCCACCTGTGGGACTGTCCCCTGATCCCCAAGGCTGGATCAGTTTTAAATATTACCTGAACAACAAGTGAGTGAAATGAATATTCAAGTCAGGTTACTCCAGAGGGTTTAACCTCTTCTACAGTGCATCAAGTGAAAAAATAAAAACTGTACTGGTTTCACTTTCAGGGAGCATTGTACATACACAATAGCTAGCATAGGAAAATTAAGATTTCTCATTTTTTCCACAACCTATAAAGCAAAACCTTGCACAAGTTTCAGTACATTTAGAATTAATTTCTATTTTCTACATTACTAGTGAACTGGGATTTTTCTATTTTTTTTTTTTCATGTCAGAGTTGAAGTATTTAAAATAAGAGTGCAGTGGTACACTTACATTATGTGGCAGGGTTCATTTCTGTCCTTCAAGCAGTGCCCTTTTTCCCATTTCTTTTTTGTAGGAAATGTGGTTTTCATGTATTTTGATCCAGCATGAGTATTTTTCACTCCACACCAAGGTGCATCTAGTTTAATTTGAATAAAGAAATTAGGAGTGCAATTGCTTCAGAATAGCATGAGATAGTTTGATCAACTACTTCTACAGACAAAAGCTCCTACAATCTCCTTCCAGCAACAACGACCTCCAGCTCAAAAGGAAATTTAAGAGATCTGGGGCAATTTAACATCTTGGATTTTTATACCATTATCTTCAGGATTTTACACTTGAAAAGATCAGCAGTAATAATACATAACGCTAATTTCCTCTGACATGACAACGACAGCCAGATACACTGGATGCGTTCCACAGAAACTTCCTGTATAACCGGTCTGTACTTCACGTGCAAATAAATTTAAGGATTTAGCAGTTTGCAATTTTCCTTTCTCAAGAGTCAGAAATTAAAATAAATACTGTGTTTGTAACTGTCAGTTGATAACTGAACATGAAAAAAGAAAACACGACATCCCTGGTCAGTCCATTAAAATGACTGCTCAGTGGGCAAAGAGGGAATTCAAACATTCTTCCACCTATTCCATTTAAAGAGCAGTTGTTTCCAAATGCCATTACTGCTGCCAGTGGCTAACTCATAGCCATTACCCTGTGCTTGGCACATCCCCAGCAAGCTACATTTTAAAAGATACTTAAGCAGGATTCTGGTACATTAAAAAATCCAAGTTGTCAATTTGTCCTTTTCATCTTCCCCTGCAATGTCAGGAACTGACACAGCAGCTTATTCCTTCCAGCAGAAGGCTGGAAAGGAGTAGTTCTGTAAATTGCTTTCTCAAGTAAGAAAACAGCCACTGTTCTGAATTCTTTAGGTCTTGATTCTGCTTTGTGATTGCTACACCAGTATATCTCATTGCCCATTGTCACAAACTGACCAAGATGTAAAATCTTACCAGTCTCTATCATTAATCGTTCACTAGGAATTGATTTCAGTGTTTCCAAGTTGGCTTCTGTTTTCAGTGAACTAGAAAATTTAGAGTTTGGTTAAAAAAACCCATAAAAAGCATATTAAAGTAATTACTGTGCCTATTAAAGTGTTTTGTAGCAAAGGCAGCTTCCTAAATAATTTTGTTAATTAAATTTGCTTCCTTTTTTTAACAATAATGCCTGTAAATTAAAACTGTGCAGAAAACAACAAATTTGGAGTTAGTGGGAGAAGCCATCTCACCCCAGAAGCTGCAGAACCCCTTTGGCTGCCCTTGCTTGCCTGGTGACAGCCTCTGTACCTTACAAAGTGGTGCTGGCTGGCACTTGGCCAGGTGACTGCTGAGAATCCAAACTGCATAACCAGGAGATGAGGCACTCAGGTTACATTTGCATTACACCAGCATTTGACAGGCAACTTAAGGTCAGACTGTTTTTTAAATGCTCCTCAGAAGGAATCTTTCCATGCTCAACAACCTTATTTAATTACAAACATGGATTGTCCTGAGGGCAGTAGAGTGGACGTTGATTAGCTCACCAAGCTGCAAGAGCTTTGATGGCTAACAGACTAATGTGAGCAATTCTAAATCTGTCAGATGATGAAGGGTCTAGTGAGCTTTGAAAACCTGACCTCATTGTTTAAAAGAAAGCAATGAGTTCACTACAGCTGCCATTTTAAAGCAGTTGTATTTCTTGTAAAGAACTTACCAGCCATTTATTCCGATATAAAGATCCAAATCTATTAGAGCTGCTGCTTGTTCCTTTGTGCCATCAAAAGAATGTACCTAGAACATATAAATATAATACAAATGCACTTTTATTAAAACTCCAATAATTCCAATGTATGTATTACCTTTTATTAGCATCAAATACCTTCAACAGTATGCATTACACATCATTACAAACATCAAGATGGGACATGGCTCAGTTGATTCTGAATTTGAGCAAAGTTCAGGCTGAAGTCACCTGAATGCTGCACTAGAAGTGGTTACCACACTTTAACAGTGATAAATATGTTGGCCCTGGAACTCCCTGTAAGTGGTGACTGGGAGATCATACTCAGGAAGCAATCCTGTGCATGCTGAATTTTTAGATTCTTTCCTCAGTATTCCCTTCAGGGCGCTGTCAGGGCCACCACAAGAGCAGTATTCTATTCTCCACAGGTGTTAGTCCACTGGAACTAACAAGACAGTCCACTTGGTCATTCCAGAGAGGAAACTGGAGGGTCACAAGTTACACAAGTGTAATGCAGCTGGGAACTGCATCTTCTCAGCCTGAGTGGAGCAAAGAGACTGCTCTGCTTCCCTGTGCTGTGACAGGGACAGGCAGTTGCAGAAGATGCCTGCTCCTTTCCCCCCTCTTTCTGGGCTGTGCAGGAAAAAAGAAAGGGAGGAAGGAAGGAGAGCCTTCACAGCATTACATAGCACATTACACATGCAAAGCACTGAGCGTGGGGAGGGGTTTTGTGGGAACAAAGGACAAACCTGGGGACTGCAATATTCTCATAGGAGGTGTGGTCTCATGTTAAAATCACAAGCATTTATTACTTTTGAAATATTCAGTCATAATGGAAACCTGAAAAAGCATTCCTGGACTTCCCATTTCACCCAAAGCTTTTCCTGTTAGACTTTTGAATTAAAAAATGTGATCTGAATATCTAAAGACAAAGTAATCAAAACTTCCATCTGGATCTAATTTGAAAATGATGTCCAACGTCAGAAGCAAATGTCTGAGGTTATGGCTTCCACTGGGAACATGCATCTAAATTGTCTGTGGTCTGAATGCATTGCAGCTACAGCCACTGAGGAGTTGGGAAAAGGCCAATGAGGTGCTTAGACTGTCCTGCTGGCAAGCCAAGAACAACTGTTCACATCAGCTGCAGAGCTTTTTCTCAGCCTATCTTCTTACCTTGCAAAAATCCTGCCAAATAAGCAATGAAAATAAAAATAGTAAAAGGGACTGGAATATTTACTAATTAATAACAGCTTAAATGATGTAACAGGAAGCCTACGCAGATTCCATGACAAACAAGGAATTGCATATTAAGCAACAATATTCACACACATGCATGGAAAAATGAATGCTACACAGAAGTCCATACTTACCACCCCTCCTACAACTCTATCTCTGTTTCTTCTCATTATGTCTAGGAAATGAAATAAAAATATAAAACAGCTTTATAACAGATGAATATAGAATATTTTTATATTCAGAATTTGCTCTAAATATGAAATTCTCAAACAAAACCCACCTAAAAATTCAGCATGTGCATTTCTACAGTGCAGAAACATGGGCAGCTGCATCTGTTCTGATAAGTCAAATTGTTTTTCAAAATACCTGTAAAATAAAATTCACCTTTAAAGAGAAACTCAATGTTAAGAACAAATAAAGACAGTAAAAGATTTTTTACCCAAGCTTCTGTCCTCCAGAGCTAAAGACAGAATTAATGGATTTGCCATGCAAAAGTTCTTATTTGTGCAAGGATTGAAAATAACCTCTTTCCCATGTGTATTGCCACAGCTATGATTATGCTTGAAGACCATAGTAAGGTACCAGGTAAGTGGCTAAGAGCGTCAGAACTGCATAATCTGTAAGCAGAATACTGCAGAATGTATATGTATACATGCAGAGCACGTACTCTTGCGTAGTGTGGGTGCTGGAGTTAATTTTTTAAATTTATTTATTTTTAATGGAAGAGGAACTGACTGTTCTTTCCACAAAGTTCTGAAATGTCAGGAATGGAAGAGTGAAGATGACAGAGGCTACTATTTCAAGAAGCCCTCATAAAAACAATGAGGGCGAGCAGGGGAGCACTGTGCAGGCTTCTACAGCCTCCAGTGGCCAAACTGCATCAGAGCTGCTGACATGTGAGTAACAATCCACTCTCCTGGGGTGAAACAAATACCAGATTAGACATCATACTTCTGCCTATTGTCTTTACGTGTTCTCCCTCCCTCCCTCTGTGTTCCTGCATCCTTACTTTTCCCTCTCCAACTTTGTACTCCATAGAGCTGCTCTTGATGGGGTGGTAACAGGGAGGCCCCACCCTGTGAAGAGACACTGGAATGTGGGCAGAAGGAAGGTAAGAAGGTAGCCAGGCTTCCCACTGCAATTGTCAAAGGAAACAACTTAGCACTGAACTAACCTGTGCTTGTCATTAGCAGCGAGCTCTGCAATTACCATTCCACATCTCTTGTTGCCCTGCTCCACCCAGGGAACACAGCAGAAGAAATAAAGCATGGCAGAAGGCCAGCAGTGCATGGGTGACTCAGTGTCCTCACGCTGTTTGAAAGATGATATTACTACTTGGGTGAAGCAGGAGAACAACACTGTCCATCCCAGCAGGCTGGGGCTCTAGGCACATACTGGATTTCTTGAGGTGCTGCTGTTAAAACACAGTCCAGGGCACCAGGAAATTCCCACCATCAGTTATCATACTAATTTCAAAGGGAAACTCCAGTGATCACACACTGCTGTGCGTGAGTCACTTAACAATCAGGGGAAAGTGGCAGCAAACCATTAGATTGATTTACATTTTCCTAAAAAAATCAATCCAAAAAACTGACCCTAAACAAATATGCAACTGGCCATTTAATTTAATGTCATTTTCACTATTTTCTGTATATTACAAGTTGATATTTCTCAGATCAAAGTTACCTTCCCTTTTACTCAGTGCAAATCTTTGTGATAAAACAGGTTAAACAAATCAGCTGTAACCTTGAAACTGACATGAAAATTCATGAGAATGAATTACACCTACTTTGAATCTTCTTTGTCTAGATACCGTGCTTAGTTTAGCTTGTATGACTAAATATAAATTAATTGCAACTCATGATTGCTCTTGTGGTTAAATAGTTACAATTGCTTGATTTTTGGTGTCAGTTTTCTTCCAACAGAATACTTATTTCATATGGGAAAGAGGTTTCAGAGACAGAACTGCAAGTAAACTCCCTAAGTAACCTACTGGCCAATTTCCATCTACTTTTGAGAAGGGTAGAGCCCTTGAAAGTACAAAGTTTAGTGCCCCTGCAAATGGAAATATAACTCAAGCTTCTTCCATTCCTAGCAATAACAAAGCCCAACTCAAGTTGTTCCTTGGTCTGTCTAAGAGAAAGGGGAGGTGGGTAGGGCAGTTATTGGAGAGACAAAAATAATAATTAAAAAAAAAATTTAAACCCCAACCCCTGGAAAAGCATGAAGAAAATGAAACCAGACATACAGTGACTGGAATAATAAGAAAATAACTCAGTAGGAAACCAACCCTGATGAGTTCCAGTGCTTAAGGAACAACCTGTTCCTTTGAGCAAGCTTAGTTTTGACCATCACATTCAAATGCTACAGGATGAAGACACTAAAGGAGCTAAAGCAAACTGACCTTGCTGAGGTAGATCTCCAGACAAACACTTCTGAATTAATTTGAGTAATGGTGCATGTGATATTGTGATTATACAGACCCCTCCCATAGTATAGCAGATGTGAAACTTCTATATGCTTACCAGGGCATTTATATCACAGCTTTCACCATAGTATGAAGGCAATACCTTAATCTTACTACCATTCAAATCACTGCTTTGTCTTGGAAAAGTTCTGAGAATGGGGAAGATTTTTGAAATAAAAAGTTCTTAGGAACACCACAGCAAAGAAATTTCATCTTTATTAGATTCTTATTAACTTTTATACTGAAGAAAAGCATCAAAAATAATGTACAGGTGAAAATTATCCAAAAGAAAATACAGCATAACTAATCAGAAAAATGTAGATTAAGTACTAAATGAAACAGAGATCATGCTCTGATATTTGCTGGGAAACAAACATACTGCTCTTCTGTGGGGGAACTGTGCAGCTGCATGCCAGCCCTCCCCAGGACTGCTGCACCTGAACTCCTGAGCAGCTGAAAACCAGTGAACTGGCTCCGTGTATTTCACACTCTGCCTTGCTCTGTTTAGCTCACTGATCAGGCCTGTCATCTCTTTCCTTACAACTCAATTACAGTGCATCCATTTAGAAATCACTACAGCTCTTCAGCTGCAGTCCATTGCACAAGGAAATGAGAGATATATTTTTTCTCTCTCTGACATCAAAGCAGTTAAGGATCTTAAAATCTGATACTCCATCAGTATTTTAGTTTGCCACAGAAAAGAAACAGATTATGCTCTAAGGTGTGCTTTGCTGAACTTCACGTACACTGAATTCCACCAGGACAAAAAGTCCTGTCCCCTTCGCTGAGTATTTCACTGTCAGTCTGTAGCATTATGAAGAATCCTCCTACTGCTAATATACAGCAATTAGAAAAAACACAACCAACCACTGCCCCCCAGTGACTAATTTACTCAAAACAGTAACATGCAAATGGAATTCATTAATCACTCATCTTATTTGAATTTATCACCTGTATCTTTCAATCAGTTCCCTCTGCAGAGAGACGTTCTCAACTGAAGAATGCAGGCTGATTGCAGGGGCTGTGGTGGCTTCTTTCCATTCACATCTATGCTGCACCTCCTGAGATCACCTTTACCATCAGCTCCCCATTATCTGCTCCCAGCCAACACCTTCCTTACTAAAAGCTCTTTTTTACCCATTACTTTTACCAGTGCTTTTTACATATGCTTTTGATAGTTCTGCTCCCATCCTCATGCCTTTCACTTAACAACCCAATTCTTTCACACACTGCATTTATGGGTTTTTTCCCGTAATTCTCTTAGAGCTCTTAACTATTAGCAAGAATTAACATCTCTCACACCCAGAAATCCACAATTTCTGGTCAGTTTTACAGAAAAAGACATGTTGACATAAGTCAACACCAGGGAGGTAGCAAAATTTAGCACACTGCACTACTTGAATGTAGGCATATTTCTTTAAATTCCCATTTCTGTCCAAAAAACCTCTGGGCCCAACCCTGCAAATTTTAGGGCCAGATGTGACAGAACACAAGATAGAAAACTCTACTGTAAATTGCTACAAGCTAATTCACAGTCATCAACAGTTTCTTACTTGAGTTGGATGTCCTTTGGGCAAAATTCTAATCTATCGAAATCTACAAACAGAAAGAACAAAAATCCCATTTAGTATTTTAGGATTTTTTTTTAGTATATGTCTAGAAAAAATAAATATTGAAGTAGTAAGAGAACACTTACCTAAGCCACATTCTCCAACTGCTATTACCTTTGTCCTATTTTTTTCAATCAGATTTTTTAATTCAGATAAATACTGTTCAGGGCTACTCTGCTCAAACTCTCCACAGCGAGTAGGATGACAGCCAACTGTACTGAAAAACATGTCTAAAGCAAGAGAGTATTAGAAGGTTTTAAGGGAAAAAAAAAAAAAAGAATATTTAAGGTATAGACAACATCTGCCTCTGGAGGTTTTTTTTATTGGTCACAATTTTAAAAGAAAACTCCCTTTGACCATATTTATCTTAGTGATATTTTCATTAGACAGACATTTTCTGCCTTAAAAATATCAGACAGTATCTCCAGTGGGGGCACGTGCACGCATCTTCTTTTAGTACACATTATTTGGTGTACTCCAAAACTGCAGCTTAGAGCTGATCTGTTCTGGTGGAGCAGCTCCCAATAAATCATGCAATTTCTGGGGCTGGATGAGACCTCTTGAGATCATTTAGAAATACATCTTGTTCCAAGTGCATCAGGTTATCCCAGCTGTAGGAACTGCAGAGAGTATTTTCCTCGTGTGTCCCTGCATAAGCTGTTAGAGAATTTCAGAGCTCACATCTGCCTGATTCACCCGAGTATCTGATCTAGATTACCATGCCAATACTAACATTTCTGCTGAGTGTAAAAGCACTGAGAAAGGGAAAGAACAGGTAAGGCCCTGAGCAACTTGCCCTAATGCTCAAGCCAGCCCTGCCTGAGTGGGGAGGCAAACTGGGTTGGACCAAATTATCTCCTTGAGTTCATTCAAACCAAAATTATTTTAGGTTTCTGTTAGTAAACAGTACTTTATCATGTGTTTTAGTTCAAATACATATTTAAGTAATTAGTGGAATGAAATCTGCCTAAAGAAAAAAGAAGAGCCATTCTCCTTTCACAGAAAGAAAGGAAAAGCCAGAGGAATGATCAAAAGAAAGATACCTCTCTTGATCAAGCTGGTCAAAGGGGTTGGTAGGTAAAAAACAAACAAAAAGCCAACAAAACCCATATATTTCACGACATGTAAACACAATCCTATTTCTAGAACAGAAACTTGTATTTATATTTTTATTCCAGAAATTTTCTATAATTTTTAATATTATTTAGAAATAGAACATGCAGGAAAAGTGATTCCTTCCAACATCAGGGATCTAAAGAGCAACACACAAACTCATACTCTATGCATTCATCCCACTCTGAAATGTAATTTCTCATTTTAATCTGAGAGTCTGTAAACACCTCTGAGGCAGATCCTTTTTAACTCAATTCTGAGAGCAGAGAAGGTTGTATTTTTGACTGAATGTAAATTTAAAGTGAAAATACCATTTGTCTGTGCCAGCTGCAATGCATCTTTACTATCTTCTAGACTCCCACCTGTAATCAAAAACTTGAAACAAGAAAAGTATTGTCAGTGTGGATGTTCTTTGAACATCAAACAGAATGTTTAAGAAAACACTCAGATACAAGGAAGGATCTTGACAGAGAACATCAGAATACAATTACTAATACACATACATATAACAAGATTTCATAAATCTGCAATAAACCTCAATGGTCCTCAGGAGCTAGTAAATACAGTAGGCTCCAAAATATGATTTTTTTTCCCTTAATCAAGTATCTTGTATGCTATGCATTTAAATCACTGAAGGAATAAAAGACTTCAATTTGCAGCAATATTAGTTTCCTCACACAATGACTGAAGACTGTATTTGCACTCAAGAATTGATACTTAAAAATATTTTCCCTGTCCTACAGCTGGGGAAAGTAGACTCCCAAAGACCCAAAACAAGACAGGAATAAGTAGTTAAACCAAAAAATGAGTCTGTATCAGAGCTGGGATTACAAATTTAAGAACTCCCATCTCTGATCTTTTATTTTTACCTTAAAGTTATCACGTGAGAATTGTTGCCTACAGTGAACTTTTTGAACCACCACTTGCAGAACATTTCACCCTAGGTTGTAACAGCCATGTCTACAGTGGTTTTGAGCAACTCCTCTCCCAGCAGGTGCTATCCAGCAGGCTCTGTCAGCACCAGCTCAAACATTCCCACATTGCCAGGGCACTCATGACAGACAGACAGACACTTCCCAAAGACATCACCGAAAAATGTTAAGCTGAAAATGGCTCAGTGCATACACGACACAGAGCAAAACTTCACAAAAAAATTACCATAAAGCAGCAGCTATACAGAAAAATAAAAGCACTTTCTATCAGCAGATTAAGGTTCTAGGCAAGCAGGAACAATGTGTGATTGAACAGGCTTCTGACACTGTACAGGCCAGTAGCAAGACTGAGAACAGCTAAGGGGAGGAACTCCTGAACAACATTTCTCAATCAACTGTGCATCTTGAGAAACTTATGCAGTTAATCTGTTTTTGATGATAAAATTTTTAAAAATGCCACTTATTTTCAGAGGGTGGTATAAAAATTAAATAGCACTTATACAGCACATATAAATGTGACCTCACTCCTGACCTTGCTGCAGTGAGGTAAGTTCTCCATCACAAGTTTGCTTTTGTTGCTTCCCAGTGCATTTGCCACTCTTTTCAGATGAGTTTTTCAACAAACTCCCAAGATGCCTGCTCCTCTGCTACAGGAGTGTTTACTTCTTTATTTCTAATCTGGTAGCCTTAGTAGTGCAGTGGAACAGTTTGTGACAGTATGCACTGTATTCTATGGCAATTCATATTTTTGTCAAAAATTTATTCTATGCCGAAAGTTTATAGAGAAAGGGAGACAGGCTAAACTATGGCATGAGATGCACTGCTGGAAACAGCAATTTCAAGTTCAGAGTTACAAATTCTCTCATAATGGTGTTGTTTTAATACATGTAAGCCAGTATTTACCAGCAAACATGCAGATATCTCAACTGTAAGAGTTTGTGGGCACTCCCAGCTCTTCTGCAGTTTCCAATTTCCTTTACATATAGAAATAGCTGAAAACCTCAATCAGAAGAGTTTGATTTTCAGCAGAAATTATTGATTAAGAATCACAGAATCATTAAGGTTGGAAAAGACCTCCAAGATGACTGAGTTCCACCTCTGACTGATCACTGCCACCTTGTCAACTAAACCAGAGCACTGAGTGCCACATCCAGTAGTTTCTTGAACACTTCCATGGGAAGATGACCACCACTCCCCTGAGCAGCCTGTTCCAGTGCCTGACCACCCTTTCCAGGAAGAAATTCTTCCTCGATGTCCAACCTGAACCTCCCCTGGCAGAGCCTGAGGTCATTTCCTCTTCTCCTGTCACTTCTTGCCTGGGAAAAGAGACTGACCCCCACCTGGCTACAGCCTCCTTTCAGGAGTTGTAAGTGATGAGGTCTCCTCTGAACCTCCTTTGCTCCCGGTTAAACAACTCCCAGCCCCCACAGCTGCTCCTCATAGGATTTACTCTCTAAAGAGCCACACAGAACATACGGAAAAGGAATGGTTGCCTATAATACAACATGGAAAATTATGTACCACTTCACTGCATCAGGTCAAAGGAGAATATCTTTCTGTTGAAACTGTACAAAATAACTTCCACATCCACATCACCTACAATATCACTGAACTCCAACAATCAGCTTCAATAATGATCTGTGCAAATGGAAAGACCATGCTCTGCACAGAACACTTTTGTTTTGTGCTACTGAAGGAAGTTACTGCATTTTCTGTTCAAGTGCCGAAACATTGTTTTAGTGGAAGAGCACTAAAAAACCAAATATTGGAAAGCAGCTTAAAATTTTAATGCCATTTCATTATAAGAAATTACCTTTTTAATGCCAACTTTGACTGCTCTCTCTATTACATCCAGAAGGTCATCTGCAAAAGTTCATAAAAATGTCATAAACTGAACTTGAGGTTTTACAGCATAGTTTAACTACTTTTCAATTTTCATGCAGTCAAAATTTTTGTAATTAAATCTTTAAACCATACTTAATTAATCTTTATAAGACAATAACAAAGTGCAGTAACTAGAGATCCAATTTAAATCCAAGAAATCAGTAGAAGTTTTCCCACATACTTTAGAAGGCTCTCTGCTTTTACATTCATATCTAAAGGTCACAAGAGCAAAAAGCCCCACATTATAATGAGTAACTGTGATTCAGGAATGCAATACTTTGACAGACCACTGTTCATAACTCTCATATCAGTTTTTCAATGCAATCCTAAACAGATTAGCAATTGTCCATTTTGCTCCAGAAGCAGAGTTACCTGCATGTAAAAAGCAATTAAGACAATGCATTTTGGTTAGGGTATACAACTTATTTAGTCAAGCTTTCTTTTTTAAGCCGAAGTACATAAGGAGAAGAAAGAAACACTAACATCATGTTCTGACATGCAAGAGGCTTCTAATTCAGCAAAAGGGATCCTGTCTTCCAGCAGATACAAAGAAATATTTACCTTGATGTTTCTGTGTTCCCCTGTAGATTCCTCTGAACATAGGATCTGTCAGGTTAATACCAATATCTGTGGAAAACCAAAGATAGAAATTAGAAGTTATAGCTGTTCTGCATACTCTGAATATTAATCAGCTAGGGAAGACAATAGAAACCCTATCTAAACCCTGAACCAGCACATTAGTAAGTAATAAAATGTTTAAGCATAAGCTTACTTGTATAACTTGAAAACTTACTCCTTACTAGAAGTCACAGAAAAATTAAACTTTTCCCTCTGCGCAACTTCAGACTGTGAGTGCATTATACACACCCTCATAACCACCAAAGTGAACACACACATGCTTTTTATTGCAAGCAAATCTGCTTCTCACACGAAAACACACATTAATGCAAAGAAACATTAAAGAAGGGAAAACGCAGCATCTCCCATACAGCCTCCCACGGGTGGGAGCAGCAGGAGCAGAATGCCTCCTAAGAGCTGCCTGTTCTCCCTCCTAGTGCCATCCCTGGGCTATCCCAAACGCCGGCAGCACTGACAGGGCACTGACGGGACACTGACAGGGCACTGACGGGACACTGACAGGGCACTGACGGGACACCTGCAATGGACCCCCACCTGGCTACAGCCCAGCCCGGCCCGGCCCAGCCCAGCCCAGCCCGGCCCGGCCCGGCTCCCAGCGCCGCAGCCTCGCAGCCGCGGCCTGAACACCGGCTCCAGAACAGCCACCTCTGCAGTGCCAGCGCTTCTCGCGGGGAGTCTAGCGGGAAGGGAAATTTTCCAGGGAAATATTAATCTGAGCTGCAACACGAAGAGCGTCCACATGAACCGACCTTTTGAAGTTGTTTACACGCTTTCCGTGGAATTTCCTAAAAATGCTTACATTTTCACCCAAGCCAGTTCCATGCAATCAGAAACAACCACGACTAATGCACCAAGGCGGGACAGGGAACGAAGGGCGGCCGAGCCCCCGAGCTGGGAGTTACCGAGGAGCAGCAGCGCCAGGGCCCAGACACAGCACAACCATTCCCAAAGGCTTCCCAGGGGCTCCAGGGCCGCCGAACCTCGGGACACCGAGAGGGACCGCAGGAGGCGACAAGCAGGGACTGGGGCGGGAAGTGACAAGCTCTGGCAGAGGTGCTGGGACAAACCTAAGAGAGTGTAATAAGCCTGAGGGACTGGGACAAACCCTGGGTAAGGGGTTGGAGCAGGAGGCAACAAGCACTGGATGAAGGGCTGCGACAAGCCCTGCCACAGCACAGCCCGAAGCCCCGTCCGCTGCGCGAGGCCCCTCACGGAGTGCGGCAGCGGCGGCCGCCTCAGCCCGCCAGCCCGCGAGGGGAGGGGGCCGGGGCCGGGGCCGGGGTCGAAGACCCGAGGACAGAAACCCCCCGCCCTCCCTGCCGCCCCCTCACCGATGAACTTGGCGCGGCTCATGGCGGCTCCGGGCGCGCTCGGCGGCAGCGCGGGCGAGGCCGCGCCGCCCTCCCGGCATCCCCCGCGCGGAGGGGAGGGCCCGCGGAGCCCGGCGCCATGGCCGCGTACCTGACGCACCAGCAGAAGGTGCTGCGGCTGTACAAGAAATCCCTGCGGCACCTCGAGTCCTGGTGCATCCATCGGTGAGGGCGAGGAGAGCTGGGAGGGGGGAGTGCTGGCCGCCCTCACATCGGGGCGCTCAGCCCCGCGCTTGGCTGGGCCCGGGGTGGGGGGGTGGTTGTTTTCCTCTTCACTGTGCATGACCTCTGTCCGTAGAGACAAGTACCGCTACTTCGCCTGCCTCCTGAGGGACCGGTTCGATAAGAACAAGAATGTGAACGATATGGTGAAAGCCACCGAGCTGCTGAAGGCCGGCCAGGAAGAGTTCTGGGCCAGCCAGCACCCGCAGCCGTACGTCTTCGCCGACTCCCCCGGGGGCGTTGCCTACGAGCGATACGAGATGTACAAGGTGGGGTGCCGAGAGATACGAGGTGTACAAGGTGGGGTGCCGAGAGATACGAGGTGTACAAGGTGAGGTGCCAAGAGATACGAGGTGTGCAAGGTGGGGTGCTGGGAGATACGAGATGTACAAGGTGGGGTGCCGCTCATGCTGGGAGTTCTGCGCTCGCTTTGAGCGTGTTCCATGTCGCTTGGCTCGGCAGTGTCACTTCACTCTCCGTGAACATCTTGGTGCTTGTGTGGGAGGAGCTGCTCTGGTCCTTGGAAATGGAGTTTCTTGATTCGTTTGAACACTGCTGCTTGTTCTTTCGGGATTTTTTTTTTTTTCCTGGGGATAATTATCTGCTCTTTTGCCAAGCGCAGTCCGCCCTGTGGCGGGTCAGGCTGGCACAGGAAAGGGCTGGAGCTGAGCTGGGGAAGTGAACAGCGCCCAGGGAGCTCTGCTGCCTCCCGAGCACAGCCTTGGTTCCTCTGGTCAGGTCGGGTGTCACCTTGGCTGTCGGGGACTTCCCTTCACTCAGTCCTATGGTTCTTCCAGCATTTGAGTCATGGTACAAGTTACCGTTTCCCTTCATATGCTGCAGTGCCAGATTGTGCAGTTTGTGTGCTGCTGTGTGAGAGAAACACTGCCTGGATATAAAAACCTTATGTTTAAACTCTTTAAGGCACTTTTACAGGTATTAACCATCAAGACTGTTTTATTTAGGAGCAAAAGTTCCATATTAAAACACAGGGACCTTGCTTTATTGACATAATCTTTTTAATGCATTAGAAGTTAATACTGACCTAGAGACTGCATGCACCCATTTCCTCACAAATTTGAAAAAAGTGCTGGCACAAGACTGGATGTGGTCAGATCTTTTTGCATATTAAGCCATGGAAAAAGAAAAATATGACATAGATTTATCAGGGGCAGAATAAAGAATATGTGAGTGAAAAGAGAAGAGAAGGACTTATTTAAACTTGTGCCAAGGTCAAGGGCCTGAGTAGTAGTAGAGATAATAGTGACAGAGAATCTGGACAGAAAAAAAGGCAGCTGAGCACTAAATGGTCAATATCAGTCTTCATACAGAAACACAGATTGGGTTATGCTTTCTTTTCCCAGTTTGATGGGCTAAAACTGTTTTAACAAAACGGATGCCACAAGGCTTTGGCTCATTTGTGTATCAGTGACTGTCCATTGTGGATGCTGCTCCAAAATGTAGTTTTTAGAACTCGGGCTGATTGGTGGTTTTAATTGGAGCTTGCTGTGGGTGGATATTTACTTCAGCAGCTGTGCTATTTCCATTCAGTCAAAGGTTTGTTCTGTGATGAGAATCACAGCAGGAAAAGTGTGACTATCACTAAGTGTATTATGGTACTGGAGCAACTTCTTTCTTTTTTTTATTTTTAATCGGGAGTTTTGGTGGGATTTTGTTTTTTAATCAGTGTTCCTCTCTTTAAAATGTAAACAATTTGAGTTTTTTTAATTGCTGCAAAATTCTAAATTTTGGGCTTTTCCCTTGTCAGGAGGTCTTCGAGGTCAGACCATTCTCAAGATCTTAAAGGCCTAAGAAACTGCTCATTTCTTAGTAGTTGTAGATAAGCAGAAATGAACTGTAATGTTGTGTCTTTGGCAAGTAAAATAAATCAGTAGTTGGAGAGAAGGATTCCTCTAACCTGCTGTCTTTGAGAGGAGGAAGGGAAGAAATCAGATCTTCTCCTCCACCAGATGGAATTATTTTGAAAAGTTTAGAGTAAACTGAGATGATCTGGGACTTGTTTTGGAATGCTGTGATATATGTAAGTCACTGTGATGTCTTCCTGTGGGTCAGGATAATGTGTGAAAAATTCTGACTTCTGCCATGTGCCTTGAGATAGTCAGGCAGCTCCTAAATGGTGTTTTTATGTAATACTTCAAAACGGAAAAAAAAACCCCTAGGGAGTAAGTCTGCCTTTAGCCTTTGTGTTTCATTCTTCTGCATGTGTGTACAAGTGTGATTTCATATATAAAAAATAGTATTTCAAATCATATTTTTCTTCAACAGCTTCCTGAATGGGCCTTGGATTTCTGGCACCCTTCTGAGAAGGCAATGTATCCTGATTACTTTGCCAAACGAGAGCAGTGGAAGAAGCTGCAGCGGGAAAGCTGGGAAAGAGAGGTCAGTGCTTGCTCTATGCAAAGGAAAGTCTCTTTAGCACACAAGTATCCTGTGTGGCACAGATGTGTTCTTGGAAATATCACTGAATGTCTACTGCAGTCTCAGTGAGACTCTCCAGTGCTGGGGCCCCCGTCAGTGTGGAACAACCTAAAATGCCTACACATTTGTTACAGCTTCTGGAGGGTTGTGAAGGGAATTTGAAGTTAAAGCTGAACCTGCAGCCTTGTGTCAGCTAGTAAGAGCTGTTATAGCAGTTTTGTGGGGAAAGAAAAAATCCAAAGTGGGATGAAAGGAGACTAACAACCAGAGAATTCCTCTGCTGCTGCTGTGGAGCTCTTGACACTTTCTGGTTATAGCTTTGAATGTGATGTGCTGCAGTGGTCATCAGCTGGGCATTGAGATTAATTTCTGGCCACCCTGAACTGAGAGAGGGTTGGAAGAAGTTGGTGTTCTTAGAACAGTCCTTTGATTCAGTTGGATTGTATGGAACGTGGCACTGAGTGGAACTGACACAGGAGCAGCCAGCGCTTGTGCTGCTTCAAGAAACAGGTATTGAAAGCATGTGAGGGGTGCTGGTGATGCAGGAACAGAAGTCTCCTACTCACTGACTGCAGGGAAGCTTGGTCCAGACCTGGAATTATCTGTCAGCTTCCAAAGCAGCACAATTCATCCTGTTTGACAGAGTAATGGTAGACATGAACTGTGTGGAAATAATGACCTTTTAAGTGAAATTTCTCTTGTAAATCTCTTCTTGCTCCTAGAAATTCCATTTTTCATTAGGTAGTAAGAGCCTGCAGTGATTACTGAGTGGAAATTAAAGTTGGGAAACATGAAACCTGTCAGCCAAAGGTGTTACCACTGGTTCTTCTGGGTGGAAATAGAGAAGAACCAGTCGTTCTTTGTTCTGCTCATTGCCTGGGCACTGAAAATGGGAGCGTGTGTTAATGTGCTAAAGCAGTTCTGTGTTTTGACTTCTAGGTTAAGCAGTTACAAGAAGAAACTCCAGCTGATGGTCCAAGAACTGAAGCTTTGCCTCCAGCTCGTAAGGAGGGGCATCTGCCCCCCATGTGGTGGCACCATGTCACTCGACCTCGTGAGCAGCCCATGTGAGAGCACCATGGGTGTGAATGGCAGCAGTCTGTGCTGCAGGCAGGTGGCACCTCAATGACCACTTGTTCCTCAAAGTAATAGAAGAAAGCCAAATAAAGTAACAGAAAAGGTGTTTTTCTGGCACACTGCTCTTCTCTGACACGCTGACACTTCACTGCCAGCTTGTGCAGGCAGTTCATATCAGCCCCCTAACTTGGAATGTAGTACTAAGTACAGGCAAAGTGTTAAAGCTGGAGTTAAAGATACAGACAGCAGCAGACATGGGCTTTGGGTGCTCTTGTAATGAGGGTATTTTTGACCTTGCTGCAGGATAAAGACATCTTTCCCTCCCTTCCCTCCTTCTTAGGCTCTTTGCTGCATTTTTCACTTTCGTATCAAATCTCACAAGACACAAACTTTGCTTACAATGTGATGCTTTCCTCATGGCATGGACACCAGTGCTGCAGAGCACCAGAGGAAAGTTGGTCCCCACATAAACTGAATCCCAGATAACCACTGAGCTGTATCAGTTAACGTGCTGCTGAGGATTGTGGCTGTTTGCTTCTGGCCATGTTCCCAAAGCACTGGTACAAGACAGAGGAAGTTCTGCTAACACTTTTACTAACTGCCCTGTGAGAGAACAGATGCAATACAGCCACTGAGCAAAAGCTCATAGGAAAACCTGGCCCTTCCGCTGTTTTCCTGTTTTTAGGGCTAGGAGATGTAGGTTGCCTAATCTGACTTCCATTCTACAAAAGTTACTTGACTGTGCCCATGTTTAAGCCTAAAGCTTAATATTTCTCTAAACCCCAATTGAACAAAAGATGGCAAAGCTTCAGCTCTTCTAAGAACGAAACATATGTAGCTCAGGAATAAGGCTTTAATTTGATTGATTTTTAGAAACTTTTAATCTGCTCATTTCCAGTAAGTCTGCATGCTAAAATAGGTATGAATTTTGAAAATAAAACTCCAGAAAAACAGCTTTACATATTCCACAGCTGAAATTTTAATTTCTGCCAAGAAGCAGGATCTGTTCTCTGTGGTCAGTTAGTAAAAAGTAGTGATGGAATTGAGAAGTGAGTGCCCTCTTCCAGCACAGCTGTTCAGCACATGCCACACCTCAGGCTGGAGCTGTCACTTGGAACAAGTGCCTTCAGTATTGAAACAGCTGAGCAAAGCACTGACACCTGAGTGAGACGAGATGCTCAGCAGCACCTCAAATACAGCCAGAGAGACAAGGGGAATGAAACCGTGATCCTCTAGGAGACAAGACATTTCCAGCCAAACCACATTGGTTTTTCCTTTAACATCTTTGTGACTGTATTGGGATGAGCTCTCATAGTCCTGGGAAGGTGTTAAGAGCACACAGTGCTTTGGCTACTCTAAGCAGGGCTCCACAGCATCCAGGGTGTCCACTTGGCATCCCCCTCACCAGTGGACTGGGGGTGGGAAAGATCTTGGGAGGGGACAATCAGGACTCAGGACAGCTGACCCAAACTGACCTAAGGGCATGAGCTCCTCTCTGCAGGGCTCCAGTTCTGCCACAGCCTACTCCAGCACAGGCTTCTGTGGGCCCTCAGCCTCCTTTGAGCATCCACCTGTTCCAGCATGGATCTCTGCTCCCCCTTGGACCTCCGTGGGCTGCAGGGGAATCTCTGCTCTAGCACCTGGAGCACCTCCTGCCCCTCCTTCCTCACAGACAAGGGTGTATGCAGGGCTGTTTCCCTCACATACTCTCACTCCTCTCCCCACCTCTACTGCTGTCTCACAGAAACTCTTTTCTCCTTACATCTTTTATCCCAGAGGCGTTTCCACCATCACTGTTGGGCTCGGCCGGGCCTGTGGTGGGTCCATCCTGGAGCTGGCTGGCATTGGCTCTCGCAGACGTGGGGGAAGTTTCTGGCAGCTTCTCACAGAAGCCACTGTTGTAGCCCCCTGCTACCTAACCTGGCCTCGTAAGCCCAGTGCAGTAACAAATGGATACCTTTTGATAAAAATGAAATCATTGCAGTGGCCAAGAAACCAGGCTATTGTGTGGCAACTCCAAGAGGGAATAACATCCTTCCCTTTCTGCCTTCAATGCTGAGAAAGCTGAACAAAATAAAGTCTTCAGGGGGAGCTGTGGGAGATGGTGCTGGTGTAGTGCTTGATAAATGCTGGCTGTAGCACGGGCAGTGTTGACAGCAGCAATTTTCCTCCTCTGGCCTAAGGAATTGTGGTCCAGCACTGAGATGGATGCACAAAAATGCAAAGTCATCTGTGCTTCCTTGCCAGGTAACAACAGCGAGGTTCAGGGAAATGTCAGCTGTTACTGTTTAATGGGAATTTCCATCATTAGCACTGCACTTCTGCTCCACTGCTACCCTGCTGAAGCCCATCAGTAAAACACAGCTTTATGCAATTTTATTTACTGGGTTTTTAATTCTCTCTTGCTTCTATTACACCTGCATGATCTTGAAAGCCACCACTGATATCCAATGCTCTGGAAACAGAAAAGTCTTTAAGGAGCAAAATACGGGAGTTTTTCAGCAGTTCTTTATTTATAATGTAGGCTTAAGCAATCATTACAATGTAGAAGGGAGACACACTTACAGCAATTATTTATACCAGTTTAGAACAGAAAACTGCACAGGGAGAGGTCAACTCTCAGTACAAACTAGCAACTAAACCACAATAATTTACCATTAGAAACAATTTATTTTTCAGCTGTGACACTGCTTTTACAATATGCAAAAACACAAACAATAGAACTATCCAAAGTGTTTTGTCACATTCTTTCTACATTGAATTTGGCAACATTTTATATTAAATTTTACTGATTATACTAACGTTTAAGAACTAAACAAGTGAAAAGCTGTACTTGGGTACAGTTACATCCATTTATTTCAAAGGTTTAAATAACACTTTTAACTATTGAGATTATCTCCTAACAGTTTTTGTTTATGCAAAAACCATCTCAAAGCCTCATTTGCACAATGCATCAGCTACTGTATCAAGATTGGTGGGCTACACCACAGGCACTACTGTTTATTATATTCTGTAATAAGGAGCTTGTTTTTCAAAGAAAGGAAGGTTTAATATTTTCTAAGAATCATGCTTTTTTTTTTTTTTTTGCTTTTAAGCCATAACAAAAAAAAAAAAGTTTAGCAAGCACAGCAGTGTAAATGTCATATAGAACACAGTGACTACACAGTTACTAGAAGTTTCACATCCAATGCAGTTATGTATTAAAGCATAAGAGGCCATGTAGGCAAGTCTAGAGCCAACAGAAATCTGCAGTGTGTGGTGGAAACCAGCCCCTTACGTGTGTTATTTGGTGCATTTTTAAACAATCCCGGATCCGCAAGTCTGGTGTCCCTCCACATGTGGGTCTGCTGTGGGTGGGCAGACTGCATCCTTCTGGATTGTCTTGACTGGAACACGTGTCATGCCAAGGGGTCTGCACATTTCTGTCAGCTTTAGGAGACGGGTATTGCAGCAACAACTTACTTTTAAGGAAAAAATCCAACTCTTAATGATTCTATCAATAGCGTTCCAAAAAACATTACTTAAAAGTACAAAAAAAGAGATTATAGTGGTCAGACTCCCAGTATTATCAAAAAACCGGTATCCCCCCCCCCCCACCCCCCACCCCTTTTCTTTTCAGTATTTAAGAAAAGCCAATCAACTGCCATTTAAAAGAAGTTAAGAAAAACAAGCCCCTGTATTGGAAAGAAACATTCGCAGTTTATTAGATCACAAGCTGGTTTCACCTCTCAAATTTTTAAGTGTTTTCTCAAAATAGTTGGGCTTTCTAAGGTGCCCAGCCTGCTGGGCACAGTCAGAAAAAGGCATTTTGATAACATCTAAGAACTCCCTGCTTGCATTTACAAACTTTTTCACATTTATAACTGCCTTAAGCCTGTTGTCCTTGTTTGTATTCAGCGGAAGGATGAGTGGAACAAAACGTGAAGGTGGAAGAACCAAGCCTACACAGTTAAGGCTGCATGCATGTGACTGAGAGTTGCTGCTGTGCAGTCAAAAAAGAAATGTGGAAAAACCCAGTTTTTAAAACACCCTACAGAAACAAAACACTGCAATCCAATATGGCTTATTCTGATGCATTTACCATGAAGCTACTAGTAATTCATCCTACTAGGCTACTTTTGTGCAACAGCATCTGCTATTTTGATGGCATCTCCCTCCCCCACTACCCCCCAATAACTCTACCAACTGCAGGTTTCTTCCTTGCATTATATATTGCTTTATTGTCAATTTTTATTCCTGCTTTTCAAACTTCTTTAAATACTTAAATGAGGATCCGTTCCATATAGCTTGACTTAAACTGTAATAAGTCCCATTGTTCTATTTTTTAACCTCACTATTACAAGGCGCTCTACAAAAGCTTGCAAAAAAGCCAAATTTTCATTAAATCCCTTTGCTGAAGTTAACTACTCGACATTTCTTTTTTCTATGATTTAAAACTTTACAAAGAGAGTTATAAAAAAGGTAAATGGGATTTGGCACCTTCAGAAAAAATTAAAAGTGTAACTTAGATCAAAAAAATGCAGAAACAAAATCATTGATATTTACAAATTAAAACACCACTGAAGATTATGTCTTACTATGCTCTTTCATTTGTTTTCTCTTTTAGAGTACTTTCAGACTGTCTGTTACCGAGTATCTTAAAAAAATCACTGATTACAGATTGGAATGGATAGAGACAAATTAGTTTTCTCACAGTTCCTTCTCGGCGTTCAGCAGTCTGGCAGCTTCTCCGCTCCTAGGAAATGCGAGGTGCCGAGCGATCATTCGTGGTCGTCTTCTTCAGCTTGACCCCGCGCCGGATGGCGTTGAGCATATCCTCGCCCTGCGGGACATCGCCGGGGCTCAGCTCGCCGGGCTCCAGCTCCGCCTGCCCCGCGGGCGCCAGGCTCAGGCTGCCGAGCCCGTCGCGCTCGCCCTCCTCGCCCTCGCTCTCGGCGACCGCCTGCCTCTGCTCCTCGGCAGCGCCCAGTTTCTGGCCCGACGCCGGAGGGTTG